GTATCAGCCGGTGGATCTTCACTCCATCAAAAAAAAAAAAAAAACCATAACTCATACGTATATTTTAGCGCAAATATAAAAAGCAAAAAAGGAAGCTTTGTACTTATTCTAAAGTAATAAATAAAAGGCACTCGTGTGTGTTGTGTAAATAATACGCGCCGAATGCTGTGTCGCGAAAGCGAAAAAAAAACGAAGAAAATAATATTTTTTAATAAAATTATTACAGTATTTTGCGATTTGCCACGCAGTTTTTTTAAATACGATTTACCGTCGTTTGAGAATAGTAATAATTACTTACTACTAGACAATGTAATCGTGTATAGTTTTTGAACTTGAAGAACTCTGTGTCGAAATGTCGTTTTATTTCGAAACGACTGTAGTATGATTTATCGTGTACAACGGCCCCACGATGAAAAATAAACAATGAAAATTTATCTAGAGAACTACACGTGATTTAGTTGAATATTAATTTACAAAACAAACGAAAATTAACGACTTTTTAAATATTGTAAAAAAATAAAGACCAATTTTTAACCTCAAATATCAGCTACCATTTCGTTCGAATAAATTGAAAATCAATACGTCTATGATAGCCCGGATGATAATGTTATTTTATTATATTCGCATAAAGAGTGAGTTTAAAATGTGTTTTAAAATCATTTGGAACGGTACTATTACTATCCTGTTTTACGAGAACGCGTTTTTGAACACAATTTACTCCAAAAAAAAATTTAAATACTTGTGATAAGAACTAGATTCAAGATAAACTCCACGGGTAGGAATGAGGGAAATAATAAAATATTTACATTTTCATTCAAAATTCGGAATTCGAGAATTTTAGATAAAAAATATTTTGTGAACGACATACGGCGCTTGGGGGTGGGAAACGCCTTATCACCCATCTTCGGGAAGTGCCTGATAAGCACCATAGATAACTCTTTTATACGATACCGGGTGAGTTTTAATGTTTTCGGGTGAGTACATTTTAAGTTTTTCTACATGTCCAGATAAAAGTGCCTATACGAAATATTATGCTCAGTGAGAGGACGCCATACCCGCTAGATGCTAACTCAGTCCAACTATAACGAGCAAAATAGCAAAATCTACCTTACGCAGACTGTGCAGAACTCTCTTGATTTTGGTTTTAGAATAAAAGAGCACCTGAAATATGCAATTAAACAAGGATAATATTCTGGAGGGCAAGACGATGCATTTTTTTTTTCTTTCATTCGTTTTTTTGAAATGTCTAACATTTCAAAATTATTAATCGTTTTTATTTCTGAACGTTATATATTCGGAATAATAATTAGAATAATAAAAAAAACGTTTTGTCTTGCCTTTCGGAATATTGTCTTCTTTTAATTTTAAAACATGCTGGTGATTTTACACTGAATCCAAATTTCAGCGATTTATACGCTTCGAGTCTTCGCAAGATGAATTTTGTTACATTGCCTGTTAGCTGGACTGAGACGGCACAAGCGGATATAGCGTCATCTTAAGATATTGCAACTAGTGTTCTCTCCTATCTGCAATTTATTATCTAATTCGTTTGCACGATCCGATAAAGTGATATATTCTTTATGTTTTCAAATATTTTAATATTCTCCGCGTAACAAGTGTACACTACTTCTGTCTTGAATTGCGTATTATTAATGTACCTAATATAGCTGGTATAAAGTATTCGATAAATTCGATTTCGTAAAAAACCCAAAACGCATATAATAATATTATACAGTAAAGGTTTAAAAGTTTACGCGGACCTAAGTATAGTTTTTTTTATTTTTTCGAGTATAAATTATTTATAGCCACGGAGTTTAACTTTTATGTATTTGAACGGTTTTTTTTTTTTTTTTTTAATTACTATAATTTATTTTAAGTTACGAAAAATAAAACCAATTTATATGAACAGCTATTAAAAAAAAAAAAAAAAAAACACCGTTTGTTTATTATTTAAGTCTTGTCATGTTGTCTAATTTTTTGATATATTATTTCGTAGTTTTTTTTTTTTTATTGCGAGTAAACTTTGGTGTGATTTAATAGTTTAATAAAACAAAATACTGAACACTGCAGGAGGTTATTATAATAACGATGTGCATCACAGAAATATACTGCGACGAGTATAATAAGTGCGGGTCGTTATTTTTTTTTCTTCGGTCGGAAAACGTGGACGATACTCATACTGCATTATTAATATTAATTTGAAAACGATTTTGTTAGCTTGGAATTAAAAATGTAAGCGCTCGCTCACGTTATTTTCCGACGTTCGCGTTCAATTAATTACACAATATTTTGTAAATCAGTTGTTGCGTGCAACTTTTTTTTTTTTTATTAAGCTTGTTTAATATCCCAAAAGGTGTCGCGTACCTAATTAAAAATAAAACGCACGGGTTTTTCTCCGCTCGGTAATATTTTATATTTTAAATATACTTTTCAATATTTGAATAAAAAAAAAAATCACCCATCTCTTCTAAATTCGGATTCTATTCTTAATTCGACAGTCATCTTGTTTACCGCCTCGCGAGATAAAGTTTATTGGTTATTATTTTTTTTTTTTTCGTGAGTTCGCTACTTTTTGAAAATAATACAATAGGTACTTTATTTTATTTGCCAAATGCTAAAAACGATATTTTCAGTAACAATTTCATCAGCTTTGCGATAACAATAAAAAAAAAAAAAGAGAGTTTCGTCAGTAAAGAGTTGAATTTTCCCCCAGATGACTTGCTATCGTTACAATATTCCATGATTCTAAGCGGAGCGAGAAATGTATTGGTTTTACAAGGATGTTTATTATTATTATTATTTTTGTTTTCTGTGGAGAACTTCACCAAAAGTGTTTGCAATGAATTTTAATTATAGCAGTTTTTCTAATGGGAAATCTGACAGAGGTGGTATTTAAATAACAAATGGGAAAAAACTGTGGAAAATTTACGAAATGCATTATGTTTTCAATTTTTAAATTTTGTTTTGTTTTGATTCAGTTACAAATATTCGTGGAAAATTGAAATTTAGACAGAAAATTTATATTTGCTTTTTTAGACGTAGTAATATTTTCAAAAAATTGTAGCCATGTTTGAGTTATTTATAGACATTTTAATGTCTCGTGTGTTTGTACGTATTTTGTGTCCAGTGGGTACTCTGTGGATAATTTTGTTAGATGACAGAAATGTTAGACAAATTAACAGTATGTTCATTAAACGTCGTATTTCATGGGGAGAAAGAGAGATAAGTGTATTATAGAATTTTATATTTATAAAAATTTTAATATTAAAGTTTGAAAACAAAACTATTAACTAAACTCCGCTCAGAAACGTTTTTCGTTATTTATGGTTAATTTTTGCGTACAGATAAATATATTAATGTTTCCCTTAACCTTCCCAATTATTAATACCTATAACAGTAGTCAACCCCCATCGTGTGAAGTATATCGGTCTTTTTTTTTAACAAATAATAATAAGAAATCGAATGAGAAAAGTTTCATCAAAAAAAGTAATATAAGTTATTGAGATTTTTGCTAACATTCAGACAGACGATGGGGTTTAAGATTGGAAGTTAAAATCTTCTGAACAAATATGATTATTTACAAAACAACGTATAACATAAATATCTTTTTTTGATTTCAATGTTTTGTCGTATTGAATATTTACATTAAGATTTTTGCGTTTCGATTTTATGTGGATTAAAATATGATTGGTTGTTCAAAAATGCTCAAATATTTGATACAAAAGTTTATCATTATAGTTGTTCTTTAGGTGATATAAATGCATAGAAAATCAGTATATAATATTATAACGTCCCACCGGCACTCCGTATTTAACGTTCTGTTTATATTGACGAGGTCTCGGGGACTCAACCTTGGTGTGTGATATTTACGTAACGGACCAAGGTAACTCTTGTGGTGTTAACATGAAACAAGACAGTATTTAAATTATTTGAATGATCTTATAATACCGGTATAAATTGTACACCTAGAGGTGGTGTCTAGTCAAGGGGTAAATGAAGTCCATGATGGTGGCCTGTGATATCCAAATGATGGCCGCTCCTCCCTGGGATGATGTTCTCAACGGTACGCACTACTGCTCGAATCGAGACACTTACATTATCGCGTTTCTAACGCCGGCCTCCGGGCGCGCGCCTAAAACCCATAGTCAGCATTTCGCCGTCCATTCCCCCTCGCCTATGATTGTTTACCTAATACCAGCCTCGCACCGCCATTGGGATAATGTACGTACCGTTACAATATAGAGAAATATATTTTTTTTAAATCGTTTGAAGTGAAGGTTATGACGAAAATCAAGGTCTTCAAGGATTTATAGTTGCGTACAGTTACATTGTTTAAACTAAATTACCCTCTGTAGTATGTATATTGCATTATACTATCTTCCCGACTTCCCTCTTAATGCAGTGGCATAATACCCACCAGCAATATCCCAATTTTTATTTTTTTGTAACCTTTAATACGACAATATTAAACTTAGAAAAATATACTCGGATTGTTTGTACACGTTTATTCCGAAACTTGTTTCGCACATTAGCATATTAACCGCGTAAATTATTGTTATTATTATTACTGTTAATATTCGAAAACAAACTAAGTATTCTAATTTCGTATAAATGCGTATTATGTTCCGCCGTTAATTAAAATAATGCGATTTCGTATCAAAATATTATTACGAATACGTATACTAAACGAACTTTTTTATTTGTCGAGTATTGTATATTTTATTATTTTAAAAAACACAAATTGTTTTAAATCGGTGAGTTTGAATTTTATACATTATAACATAATGTTAATGTTAAATTACGAAAATGTTGTTGTATTTTTTAAAACGACTAGGGATAGGTATCGATGACAATACTCGAATTAAGTTGAAATTAAGTTAAATTAAATCAAACAAGAAAGTCCAGAAACGATTCTGTAAAACAGATATAATAGCTGAAATTGAAAACAAGAAATTGGGACGACTTTGTCACATAATGTAAGGACTAAATCAATAATAAAATGTGTTATAAAAGATCCCACGGAGAAAGAGACCTATGTAGGAAGGCCGAAACAGCGATGGATCGATAAAAGCTAAAAGGAATTTGAACAGCTCGGATTTCCGACTTAGGTGATGTGGCTCAATAAGATAAATCAAAAGAAGACTGTTTCACAGCCACGGGCCTTAATGGCCTTTAAAATATTTGATAATTGAGATAGTTAGCTGACTGTGCGACAGTGGGTATGCTTTTCCGCATGGTTGTATTTTTCAATATCGGTGAAGAGAAATAATTAAGACCAATACCGATCTGAACCGAACCAGACCCGGTACTGTGTATGTAAGAATATAAGATCGAGTTTAATCGAAATAAGGGTGCTCACCACACATAATGGCTGTGACGTTTGATAAAATTTAGTTTTTGCTTATTTATGCGACTTAATGCTAGGAGGGCCTAAAAAAAAACTATTAAAATAAAATGTAGTTATCAAATTTACAAAAACCTTACGTAAAATTATTATAGTATTTAAATATAACAATCGAAATTTAAAATGTTATATTAGGCAATTGTAAAAATCGTGAAACAGACGATAGTGTTTTAATTATTTGAAAAATAACGTGAAAAACGAAAAATTCTTCTTCTAATTGGGCCTTAAAGATTTCTGTGGCTGACACATTTATTTTCGGTATTTTCGGAAGGAAAATCAAATTATTTGTTGTTGATTTATTGGTTATCTTGGTGACACAGATGGAAAAGAAATCAGTTATAATTAGTTAATTTGGATGTCACGAACAAAGAAGTACCCTTTTAAAAAAATGAATTACCGGAAACAATGGTTAAGTATTATATGGACAGGGGCGGGAATGGGGAAACACGAGGGGAGGTACGTTTATAAATTGTTCGTTCAATACTTACTGTGAGTGGGCAAAACCTTGTGTGGTTATATATGTTATGATCATATCGTGCCTAAAAAAAAAAAAAAATGTTAAACTTTTAAATCACATATATTATTATACCTAGTTTTGACAATGTACAAAAAAAAAATGTAAACACAAATATAAAAACAATGATAATTAATAACGTCAATTATAATACGGATACATTATGTGTAATATAAAAGTTACGTATACGTTAAGACAGTCGGTAGACACGGATTATTATTACTCGTACATTTGTTTACAAATTAAATTGTATACCATTGATAAATGTGACTATACTGCTACAGTTATTTATTTGTTATTTTTTTTTTTCTACTTAATATTTTGAACTCCAAGCTGTCAGCAGAAATATTTTATTTTTATTTTCAACGTAACGACGATACATTTGTTGGTTGATGCACATACGGGTCGCATACTGTATTCGACGTATTAAATCAATGAAACTAATAATATAGCACTCGTGTGAAATTATTTTTATTTTTTTCTTGAAACATACCAAACAGCTAATGGTAATCCGACATTCTCAATACACTACACATGTTTTACACGATTTTATAGTCACGCTATAATATTATAGTTTAAATTAACCAGAGGTGATGGAAATATAATTAATGTGCATGCATGAATAAAAATCCCGAAGAAGTATAATAATATTTAGTTTTGAAATAATGAAAATCTGATTTTTGCATCTTGAAGTTATTAAATTATGGATTTTAACTAGGTGCATAATTGTATTTTTTTTTTTTTTTTTTAGATTCTGAGCGAATCGAGGAATATATTGGTTTCACTATACTTAATGTTTTTTATTGGTCTTTAAACAAAAGACAAATTTCCTCTAGAAACGTACTCGAGTCAAAAAAATAATAGAATATTTTTTATAATATTGTTAATCCAGTCCGATGCTTTAGGGACGATATTATTTTTCATAGTTTTCTTAATAAATGAGAAAAACTGGCAATTTTCAGTATGGTTTTTGTTGATTTTTGGGTTACCTTGGCAACAAGGGTAAAAATTTAACTTTTGATGCTCTGTTCAGGATCGTTTTTCAATAACATATGGTTTAAATCTAAATTTTGACGAAAAACATAAAATGTACATAATTACAAAAAAAGATTAAACCGAACGTTGCTCAGAATCGCATTTCGTCAGCAATGATTTATCGTTTCGTCCAGTTATCGTTTAAATAACTTTATGTATCTTATGTTCCCAACTTTTCATCCATATAAAAGCGGCACACCCGTCAGCAGTATTATTTTTGTTGTTTTTATTATTTTTATTATTTATGTATAAATAACAGAAATAACATCCGGTATAACATGCGTAGGCATCGTCACGCTTCATATATTTTTAAATAAATTTGGAGACGAAAGAACATTAAACTTTTTCTATTTTTTTGTTCGTTTTTATTAATAAAATTACAATATCGCATAATTTTCACATCACATATGAAACTGCTATAATTTTCTCTTATATATTAAAACGTAATAATATATTCGAATTTATGTGCGAATGCCACATGACAATTTTGTATTATTAACTTTAGCGTATAAATAATTTTGATGAGCCCTCGCAACTGTATAAAGAATGATCACTGCAATAACATAATTTTCAACGAACCTCTTGATATAACTAAATACGCATATTATAGACGAATGCCGGCCGTATACTGCGTTTTTTAACCTTAATATTATGTTTCCTTTATTACGCAGTGGCGCGTCAAAATATGCCGTGCAAATTGTAAATATTGTAATGTAATTGCTGTATCCGACCGGCTGCTACGGATTTCGCAGTTTCTACGGTTGCCGGCAGCAACGGTAAGGCACCGTTGTTAATTCGATCACAGTCATAAATTATTTGCCGACAATTCCTTTGGTCCTTTTACTCTCATCTATATACAAGACGATTAGGTTTATAATTATATTATTTTAATTATTAATAATTAGGTTTATATCACGAATTATGCGCACCGTGTAATGTAGGTAAATAGTATGTACATTATAAGTACCTGTATTATGTTGAAGAGCAAATGTACCGTGCATAATTGTTTATAATTTTGTTCTTTGTCGGAAATTATATCACTTATAACAGTATGCTATGTTTTAATATCATATGGTGTACATAAAAACTGAACAAGCACAGCTGACTATAAAAGTAAATGTAAATCAAGATTGCAAATTGTATTGTTTAACCCGAGGCATATTTGTTTTTGTCCTGAATTACGTGATTTGTATAATATATATCTACAATAAATTTGTGACAATAATATGAAACAAATATTTGAAATTAATCGCAAGGCATAAACGGATATCTCGTCGGTTAATCAATACAATTTGTCCGGGTGTTATAATTATTATACATGGCTGCAGAATTTATGCTTTTTATATTATGACACTCTATTATACATTCCGGAGTAGGAATAAAAGTCCAATTTTATTTTGATGTTTTCAAAAGAAAGTTAATTTATTAATAATACACAGAATGAAGAGTATTAAAAATTAGTGATATAAGTAATATTAGTAATAAATTGTTTTTCGAATATAGATGAAAACTATATTGTGAACGTTTACAGAACTTATGCTCAAGAGTAACTGATAACGAAATATCAGTGAGAGAATTTTTAATTAATATTAACCATTGTATTCGTCAACGAAATAAATATTAACAAATTATTAATTTTTAATTATATTTCTTTATTTATTATTCATATGATTATATTATTTTATTATTCATTATTTATATTATTAAGAAATCAACTCTTTTATTTAAAAAAAAAAAATAAATAAAATCGGTCCTTTTTTCCTAAAAAAATTAAATTTGACTTTTTATCCTCCTGATTTTTCTTTTGAAAATTTTTATTTTTTGAACATTTGAAAAACAAATAGTTCTAAAATGTGACGTTATAATTTTTTTTTTGTCATCTCTAGTTTTGGGGGCAAAACGACTACCTGCTTTTGATTTTCAAATGGAAACCTATATTGAAAATGCTTAATATATATATGTAATATTATTAAAAATACATTTTTGGTTTTCCATACGGTTTACAGATATGTATATTTTATGCCGAACAACAATGTAAATTGAAACCTATATGACAATAATTTAAATTTAAAGGGAAACATATTAAAACGTATGTTAAACGAAATGCTACATACACTTATCGTATAATTGTCTTGTCCTTTCATGTCTCCTATGCCAAATCATTCAAAATAGGTACGTATATTTCAATCATTGATCTCTGTATTCTCTGCCTGTATTATATTAGTGTATCCACATTTTCCAAAACAGACTACTCACTTTAACATAATACTTCGTTGTTCTTTCATCTTATATACGTCAAAATATATGTATGTATATATATAAAATATATAAATAATAAACTATTTGATCTGTATACGCTTATACCGTGCATCAAAATTTTCAAAAACAGACGTTATTTGCACCGTATATACAGCATAAAGACACACCGTGGTCGGTAATACTCTAATGATGTAATAACGAAATTCGAAACAGGGATTTTCGTTTAAACTGGTATAAAATACCTTTACGGAACCCAGATACTTGGCATAATAATTAAACAGTATTCGTTTAATGTCAGAATTAAGTGGCAACATATAAACAACAAAGAATTGTGTGTGTTTCTTTTTTTTTTATTATTATTTCTATTTCGACTATTTATAATATATACATCACCAATATCTTAAATTAGAAGTTGATACCTTCTATCTATAAGCAATGCTTGTGCTGGGTGTAGGGAGTTCATGTTACTAAAAAATATTTGCTATAATCACATATAAGTGATATTCCTTGTCGCCGTCATGTTTTATCTATACAGGTATAATATTAGTAATATCAATTTAACTGTCTACACTATATACTACTTCACACATCTACTATGTTTTACAAAACAGCAATCAATATTTTAACATGATTTTCTGTTTCGACAAAAGGAATAAGTACAATTAATAAGATATCAAAGATCAATTACTCTAAGTTAAAAGTTAAATTATATTTTCATATGTACGCATTTGTGTGTATGTTTGATTTATATTTCAAAAAAATCAATTAATAATTCCAAGCAAAAAAAAATGATTCTGAGAGGTAAATATTAAACTTAATTTTATTTTCTTGAATGTCGCTAACTTAGAAATCAACAAAAGTAAAATCGATGCATCGATATTAATAGTTAACAGTTATTAGAGTTGCGTATACAATTGTTTGAAATCTAGATATGCTTTCAAATAAATAATCTAACCTGACGAAAAGCATTCAACTTTAAATTTATCGTGTGAAAAAAATTAGTGCATTTGTGTTAACCAAAACATTTTTTCAAGAGAAAAAAGAACGCAATATATTAGTAATACTTACAGCTTTTTGTTACAATCAGAATTTTAAAGAGAAATAAAAAAAAAAAGTATAGCGTATATTATTATAAAATCATTAAGATAAATGTATTTTTGTACACTGAGTTAAAATGAATTTTATGATTTATCTCATATATATATATAGTACCGTATATTTAACAAGTTTTTTCGCGTTTTAATAGTTCTAACAAAATAATTTTACGAAAAACAAAAACACAAAATAATACCGTTATTGCATTTCAAAGTCATTAAGGTCACAAAAAAAAAAAAATATATATATATATATACATGTATATCTTTATAAATAAATATATTTTTTTTTTTTGTTTTATTCTGAAACCCTGCTCAACACCACACTGTAACTGAAGTTTTTCAGCATTATAAGACTTTACGGTGACATTTTATGTATTTTAATACAATGTTGAAAACTGTATGTAAACATTGTGAGGAAAGAATAATATAATATAATGCAGCGGTCATTATAATATCAAAGGTATTATACCTAGCTGCTACTATAGGTAACCGAAAACGACAATAGACCGACATTTATGTTATTCAAACGTTCGCATTTTCAAACGTTACTACTTATTCTGTTAATAAAATGTTTTAATGGCGGTAACTTTGTTTACCTAACCGATTATTCGGTTTGTTAAGCCCACAATATTATTACGAGAATATTTTATTCAAGTACGGGTTCATGAAAAAAAGAAAAAACCAAACAAAAGATTTAAAAGACGATAAGTTACATTTGAAATCAACTGTTATATAATATAGAGAAAATAAGCCAGTCTTACTCCGTATAGTGTTGTAGTTCAAAAGTCGTACACGAAAACGTATATGATTTAGGGTAATTTAGTTTATATATCACCTCTCCAATCTAATCGTTGAACTTTTATAAATCATGAAGTGCAGATTTCAATCTGGAATATTAGGTTTTTAAACCTTCGTGGGAAAATTTATTACATTATCTCGATTAAATGCTTTACGAAATTTAGTGTTTACATTTTAAAGCGTACACGAAAAAATTCCTACATTCTGAAAATAATATAAATGCAATTTTAAAAAAGGATCCTAGAATAATTGGGATAGGTGCAGCCACCGTTATAGATAATTTGATGTCTACTTGAAAGAAACGATAAACCATTTCTTCTGAAAAAGCGATTCTGAGTGGAGTTCAGTTGATAGTGATACTTTGGCAACAATATATAATACATAATTTTATAGTAAAATAATTAAATAGACTTTATATATTTTCTTTAATATTAATTTTTTAATATTTTTCCCAATTTGTCCTTGTTTTATCCCGGTTTTTTTCATTTGCTAGGAAAACTCCTGAGAAAATCGAAAAATAAACTCCTTTAAGTACCTCTTTAAACTAATTTCCTTTCAGAAAAGGTTCTACACTTAGAAATCCGAGCAAGTCTCCTGGTAAAAATGTTGTTAACAGTTACCAAAAAAAAAAAAAATAAAAATAAAAATAAAAATATTTGTAAAACCATAAGATCCTTCGTTTCACTCAGAATCTTAAACTAGATCATTATACTAAAATAATAAATCGAGAAAACAGCAATCGAATTTTTCTTAAAATCCTATTGTAGATTCGAGATTAAAAAAAAAAAGTTGTCATAAAGAATATTGCAAACAACCGTCGTGCGTGTCGTCGTCTTGTGGTTTCAATTTAATTTCGGTTTTGTATTCATAAAATCACTACATTTTTAAATTTACTCTACTCTGACAGATATACCTTAGTACTACATTTTTTTTTAGCGTTGAACAAACTATATTGTAAGAATAAGTACTCTTCCATCCCCACTCCCTGTGTAAACAATAATATAATATTCGGTTTAAAACAAATTAAATAGGTAATACGTTTTGTAACTATTATCTTAATGGTATCCGAGATTTAAAAAAGTCTAGAAAATCTTAATTAATTTTATGCGCTTAAAAAATAATACGAATATTAATCATCCGTGATTATAGTATAATTGTACGCTATATCTCCGCCTTATTCAGAAATATTCTTTGTTAAATAAAATTGTAAATATTAAAATTATACTATATCACAAGAAAAAAATAAACAATTTAGTGGAAATTGAACATCAAAATAGTTTAACGGTAAAACTACCAAAAAGCACATTTATCGATAAACTATATATATATATATATTGAACTATAATAAAGACGAATACATTGTGTTGTTATATAAATCTGTGATTTTCATACTATTATACTGTTCCGATATAATTAACTATAATTGATTAAATGATTTTCTTGATCGTTCACAGAAGACATTTTTCAAAAGTTCTTACCGCAAGTTGTTAACATGTTTAGATATGTTACAAACAATTACAGCGCATGGCAGTCAAATTATTTTATCATTGATAAAACTGATTTTTTTTTTTTTCAATAAATATACTATTATACAAATTATATGTAATTTAATATAATATATTTTATATTTATTATTATGTATAATGAATTTCGAAAAAAAAAACATAAAAATGAATTTAATTAATTTCAAAATTTAAAATTCTAATATTATCTATGGCAGATAGCATTTACATAGATCAATATTTCTATTTTTAGCTTTATAAAACTATTAACAATAAATTGAAAAAATCTACGATTAATAAATCAGTTCAACCAGTTTTAATTTGTTGAAATTAAAGATACATAAACACTTTTAACTATCTTACAATTTTTAGGAATTATTCCCATATTTCTGCTATGGATATTTATCCATAGATATTACTTCAATTTAAGTTTTTCAGTATCTTAGGAGACTAGGGAAGAAATAGTTATAATATTTGAAAAAAATTAGGGTTTGAAAGGGTGGAGGAACATGGCATAGAACTTAAATTATTTTTGATCCCGAATGTAAAAATTCGTAGTTCGGTCACTGTTCATAAACTTAATAATGAAGATTGTAGGAAATAAGATCATGGGGGGAAAGATAGATTTTATGTTAAATTTTTATTGTTATAGTAAAAAACTCAATGATTATGATTTTTTGAAAATAAAAACGATGAATACTAAAAACATTGGATGTGTTTCAAGAAAATCAAATTGTATTAATTTTAAAATCAGAACTCCGCACACATTATCTATATATACTTTTAGATGTACTTACCTAGTATAAATAGTATTCAAATAATGAAACTGTATAATAAACTATACATTTAATATTGTGTTTAAATTAACTTAATACGGGTATATGCCAAAATCAATTTTAATTAAATCAATTCTAATTATTAATTATATTAATGTAAATAGAATAAATCATGTTAATAAGAAAAAAAAAAGTTAAAAGTAAATGTATTAACAATTAATTTCTGTAGAGTTCTCAAAAAAAATACACAGGCTTTAAATTGTTCGATAATTTTCGAGCCAAAATGTGCTAAGATCCCTAAAAATATACTCCATGGTAAATATTTCACTAGTAAATTATTTTAGGTATTGTAATAGGTACTAGTTTAGGTAATAGTATAATAATAATAACTTTAGCTGCATGTTATGGCCAAGATATTTTTTCGTGATTGATCTGAATGCATATACCGTGGCAAGTAATCATCACGAGAATGGGATAAAATTTACCGCGGTACATAAGTAGGTCCTATATTGTATTATATATTTACGTGCAAATATTTTATATTATGGTTACAATGAACTCCAATAAATCTTATTTACGTTAAAAACTACAATATTATATAATATATACCACGTACCTACTTACTGCGAGTATATATTGTCGTTTCAAGAACAGTGCGTCTATTCTGAAATTGAATTTGCGAACTATCGTTAACTTAAGAGTTTCACTTATAATTAAAAAAAAAAGAATGAACACAACGCATGACAACATTCAATAGTTCGCCTGCTTAGTATACGGCTGCATCCAATATAAGAACCATAAAGGCTGCTTCATGGTTCCTATAGGATTCATCTAATATCGTACATAACCGGTTTAATGATATATATTATATGTACATAATATGGCAAACAATGAACAACACAAATATTTTAATTGTATATTTGTAACATATATAATTATAATAATTTCACTTTTATTGAGAATGATGGATTTCACTGATGCTCGAAAAAAAAGAAACTATCAATAAACTGCACAGTTCAAAACGCTTGGTCTAGAAACTTGAAATTTTTCTCAAAGGTTCCTTATAACAACGTTTTTCAACCATATAATCACGACCAAATTTTGGGTTATTAGATAATTTCGAATGGGCCACCAAAAAATTAAAACGTTAATACTTCATTTACATTTATTAGTGTGTATTACTTTAAAAATAAATGACAAGTAATAGTTTCTTTTAGTTATAATTATTGAATAATTAAGTAAGTTAGGCCTCCATTGATAATTGTTTTTTTAAAAACGTCACATGAAAAATTAGTTATCTTGGGTTACCAACACGAAAATGTTGAGAACCATTGTCTTATACAATGTAGGCGACCACTGAGAAATTTAGCTTCTAAAATTTAATCCCTAAAACTGGTTGATTTCGGTATTTATAGAACGAAAATTGAATTTTTTTTTTTTGTTTTTGTTGATTTAACCTACCTTCGCTACACAAATGAAAAAAAAAATAATAATCATTGGTTAATCCGATTGTCACGGCCAAAAACAATGCATAAAAAAAAAAAAAATAATAAAAGGTAACAACGGTTAACGACAATAGAGACGTGGATGGAAACCTACCGTAATGGGGAAACACGGTTTTTAAAATTTAATTTTAATTCAATACTGACACGGAAATAATGCGGTACAGCTGTACAGTTTGTTATACAAATTGGTGGCGTTGGATAGTTTTCTAACTGAAACAATAATAAAATTGCAAATCTTTGTACATATATTATTTCGTGTCAATAAAATAAAAATAGCTCATGTAAAATGTTGAAATCATGTTAAAAAATCATTGATTTGAATAATTTAAGCATATATTAGTTGCTCGCGAAGAATAATAATAATTATATAAAGGATAGGTTATTATTTCCTAATTTGATTAAGAGTCTAGATTATGTGCGATTATCGTCGGTGGTTCTTGAATTCTTGTGCCTGCTGTATATAAAATATTGTAGTGAAATTTAAAAATAAAGTTTAAAATTTATCCTTACATTTTATCTTTATTTATGTCTACGTACATAACAGTATGCACTAGCAACGTAATCGAAAATTTATTACAGTTATTATACTTAATGTATTTTCAGTAAAATTCTTTTGTAAACCATACCTGCGACGAGTTATAACACAAATTTAGAAAGAAAATTTAATAACAAAATCGTACTGATTAACACGGAATCGTTAAAAAGTAACATTAGTAATAATACTTTTAAGCGTTTGGAATATCCAATTGCTAGCACATACAAATAGTTAATCAAACATTTAAAATTTTGTTCAAGAAGAAAAATATACGTTTTTGATCAATACAATTATTGTTTATAAATTATAGTTTTATTAATATTATTGATTATTCAATTTGTGACCGTCTCTACTTTATGCGAAATCGATTCTTATCATTTCGTACGCACACCCAATAACAAATACGTTTGAAGGTACACCACTCAAAAACAGATAATAAATTAAATAATTCAATAAAATGAATGAATTTACTCAATTCAATATAAATAGCGTATAGTTAATTTTAAGAACGTATGGGAAATAAAATCATATTTATTTCAATCATATTCTTATTAAAAACAATTCGACTATGGTAAATGTGTATCTGTTAATCGAATAAAATATTTTTAGTTTTTTCGACTACATGTATTAATCCGCAAAAAAAAAAAAATTAATAAATACATGGCGTATAATACGTCATGGAAAACATACTGCGTTGCATGCTACATAAAGTTTAAAACACAACAAAGTTTGGCTAAAATTTGCTAAAAAAAAAAAGATAAAAATAAAACAAACACCGCGTAGTATAGATTTTGGATTCACGGTAATAATAATAATAAAACACAAAACAAAATACAGATGTGTAGTATTTCGCCCCAGATAATTTATCTATTAATCTATACATATATATACTTAGAAAACTACATAGAGAAAACTATTAAATCAGAACATTACTATTATCCTTCCTCCCACTCTATTTTTAGGTACGAAAACAAAAATAACCTTAATCTATTATATAGATAAACGTAACAAATTGTTAAATATATTATTACTATTGTATCTTTTAAATCTTTTTTTCTCCTTATTTTGTTAACCAATAACCTTGATAAAAAAATTGTAATACAAAGTTATATAAAAAAAAGGCAAGATGCTTCTGCTTTGAAAGCACAGATTGTGCGTAACTACGGTCGCGTACGTTTTGCAACGAAATTATGACAATTATTTGTAAGTTTGTGTCAATATTTCAGGGGGAAAAGCCAACATAAAATTCGTAAAACGTTAGCGAAATTACGCGTTATTAACAGCTAGTTATTAAATAATATTAACTCCATTAATTTCGTCAAAAAGTTTTGTTAATTTCGTTAATTTATTATTATTATCATAATTAAGATGATCGAATTTAAATAGTTAGTATTATTTTGAAAATAATTGCGTTCGATGTTTTTCATGGTGGTATTATTCCGGGAAATTAAAATTAAAATTTTTTTAAATTCGGGATCCCATAGACATTATCCAATGAACAATTTTTTTTTTTTTACGATGATATTCAATTAATGGATCAAAATTTCCAGCGATTAATACATCCCGTAATACATCCAAGTAGTCTACAAGTATTAGTTTAAAATTGTGGTCAAAAAATAAATAGAAATAGAAATGAACTTGTACCATAATATAATTCAAAGTTAACTCGTTATAATATTTAAAATTAAACGTAAACAAAAATTAAATTAACTCAATAAAAAAAAAAAAAATCAAATGTTAAACGCTATGGTACAATACAAAAATATTTTATATACATTTTAATTTTTTAACTTTTTAATGTCCAACCTCGAGCGAAATACGTTTTAAATCGATTGTAAACTCTATAAATAAATTGAAAGGCGTTTTAAAATAATTCGTCAATCTACTTACAACAGTTTTTATATTATGTAGTGTAACATAAGGTACATAGTTAATTTTTTTAGTTAATCAAGTTTTTTTTTTTGTCTTTATAGTTAGTTTTATCTTTGGCAATTTATGATATTAAAAAAAATCGTATGCTCAAATATTTGCTTGAAATCGATAATACGTTAATATTATAGGGTTCACTATTAAAGAAAATTTAAGTTTTATTGTTCTAATAAGTGTATATTTTGGTACTTCCTAAAACAAACAATAATCCATTTCAATTTTAGTCAATACCGCTGAAATTTTTATAGATTTACTATATTTTTATGAGTAAAACACACTCGAATATGTTATGAGAGCAAATTTAAAATCCCGTGCCAAATTGCTGGTGATTTTTTTTGTCAACGATAGGTATTTCATCAGATTTTCGAAAACGTACGAAACCTAGTAGATACGTTTTGGCACGGGACTGGATCCTTTATTTATAATATTTACGAACATTAATGTCAAGATCCGCCGGTTTACATATAACGTTGAACACTGCGATTAAATTGTTTGAACAAATTACGACTATTCACGCCGTTAAAGCGAACAAACGGTTTCAACAAATAATTTCAAACCATCATTGTAAATATATCGCAGAACTTCTGTTGCTCGTGAGCTCGTAAATCGGCCCAGTTTTATTTAATCTGTACGACGATAATTATTATTTGGATACAATAGTTACCTACCTTCGCACCAACGATTTTCAAATGAATTCGCTCATAGCTCGGTGATTTACCGATGCCGTCACGACCGTTTACCGCGCAACTAAAATAATATGTCACTCTTGGACAACACAATATTATTAAACTGCGCCGAATCGCAATTGTGTGAAAAAATTGAGTTTGTAAGCTTGTAACCATTTACCCCGGATTTATAATTATGCGGGAGGTAATCCCTAAGAAAATGATGACATCTTTAGGAAACGGATTCGAGATAAGTATAAAAATTTTAAAAAATCGGACACGCCTAATTCACGTCGCCAGTAGGGCATTATGGTTTTACGTGGAAAGTTTAGAAGGTATATACGTGGAAATTAAAATAGGCTTGATTAATTTATAAAATAATTTTCATCAAAACGAGTATTAACAGATCTCGGTAAACTGATAAAGTATTTGGCTTTACGCCCAAAAGTAACCCAGGCACCAATAAAAAAAAAATCAATGTATCCGTCATTTGTGATGAGTTTTTAGTTTTTTTGCTTTTAGAAAAATTATTGGAAATCTCAAAATTGTTTTCATAATATACAAAGTGTATCATAGTAAGGAAATGTCTCATCTTTTAACGTATTGTATGCAAATATTAGAGCATTTTTACTGACCGTACAATTGTTTTTCCACGATATTTATAAAACTGATGCAACTTCTCTGCTGAACATTCAGAATCTATAATAATTAAATACACTTGTTAAAGACATACGGTCTATTGGTTAAAAAATCGTTCAGAAATTGATTTTGATAATAATCTACCTATACATTTGTGGTTATAAAATATATGCATACATGTACTACCGAAAAACATATTGGTTTTTTATTTTCACAAATTCGATTTTATCGAATAATTTGATTTTTAATGAAACATAACAATATTGTGATACATTTTACAAGTAACAAAATAGACTTATATTTATTATACCCGTATACATAAGTCAGTCTCTTCGTCGTGTCATTTTCAAGGTCAACATCTACCCTCCTCGTGATTACTCTCCCATCCTCTTTAACGTTTGCCTACCCAGCCTTGTTTACTGTTGGCACATTGTCAATTTCTTACTCTTGTCCAATTATTTTTCCGGGAAAATTGATAACCTTTTCTTATTGTAATATCAACTATTTTTAAAAATTCCTCCCTGTCCCACCCGCTCTTCACCTATTTTTCACCATTTTCCTTATCCCACACTGTTTCATTATAAATTATACTCATAACTCTTCTCGTTTCTGCCAACTTAGATCCCTCATTTTATATATAAAATATTAAACTGTAGGTACATCATCAATTTTGGGCTATTGTTTTTAGTATTTATTTTTTAATAAATAAAAATGTTTGTTACTATGGCAAAACTATACGTACGCAAATTGCCGCAGTTTTTACTCCTCGTAGTATATATATATATATATATATTATTCCACGGAAACTAAAACGAAAGAATTTTTTTAAATTGGTAGGTGGGTATATTATTATACTAAAAATTCATCAGCCACTTCTTTCTTAGCTAATGTATTTTAAATAACATTGAGTATAAAAAGAATATTATTTAACGTAGTTATTTATTGTTATTTCTTATCACCTCAGTCAGTCTATTATTAATTTAACAATAACAGTGTGATTTAATCTTTGTCTTTTTTTGTTCATATTAATAATGGCATTATATGTTATTAAATAATATTCTGCCTAGGTAATTTTTGTTTGCACATTTAATATGTGTTCATGCGTGCTCTACAATTTGTTCGTGCATATTTTACCTTTTTTAGCTTCTATAACTTCTGAGCCCTAGCTATGGTAATATACCATAGATACTCGCACAATACAGGAATTGCACTACAAAAATTAAAAATAATGTTTTTCTTTGCCATCCGTGTTACTTAAGTATAACAACCCATAAATCAACAATAATAATTAGATTTCTATACGAAAAGTAACTACAAATCAAATTGTAAGTAATGGTATTCAAAGACGTGGGTTTTATTAGCTAAAAACCTACTTCGAACCACGAGGAACAACTTCCCAATGTTTCGTGGCAATCGGATGAATGGTGTAGTAATACATAAAAGACAAACAGATATGTGTTCGCTTTTATACATATGTGTATAGAAGATAAATAAATTGATGTGTTTTATCGGTATCTCTATCTATGTATTTTTTAATTTTGATAAAAAAAAATAACAAATTGGTATTCGACACCGTTACTTTGTCGCCGTAATAATATTTTCGATTTTCGAATATAAGGCTAAATACTATATACGCGTAGTATTATAGACGAGTTTATAAAATTGGCAATTGCGTAGGTCCTTTTGTTTTTTTGAACGGACTTTTTCAGTATTACATGCGAATAGAAGTTTTACTATTGTAATTTTTCATAAAAGAAAGAAAAGGTCAACTCGGGAGTTGTTTGGAAATATACATAAAACTTAACTCGATAAAAACGAGAAAATGGCGAATTGGCAATTTGTATAGCGCTTGGGGAAAAACAAAACTATCAGGGTTGTGGTAAACGGATAACTCAATATAGTTTTATTTTGATACATAACAAAATATAAATTGAAAAGCACATATATATTATTGCGTTTGATTTCGATTGATAGTTGTTAACTTCTTTTTGCTTTAGAAAAAATGACGTGTGGAATTTAACGTATAATAGCACTATTGGACCATAGATAAGATTAAATTGTCTTATTTGTAAACTGTAGACGAAACTATTAAATAGGGGAGGGGCTAGTTACGTTTCACTTAAATAATGAGTGTAAATAAAATGCTTTGGGGGGTTTTACTGTATAATTTCTGTTATAAGAGTACTTTCAAAACTTTCGGGAACTTTAAAGCGATTTCCTCTGGACCACATTAGCACAAACTCGGGAATTTTAGTTGTTTTATAGGTACATTACACTGATTAAATTTTGTTTGAAATTCACTATATTATTGCAAAAGAAAATTTTTTTACATTTTTTCATCCTTACACACAACTCCAAAATGAAGCCAAGATAATGAAATTTTTTGTATGCATGGTGCAAGTGATATGAATATACCATTTTGGAAGTTCTTACTTTCAACTCTTTCCTATTATCAAATCGAATTTTCTGTTTTTATAGAAAATATCCGGTTTTAAATATTTTACTGTCTATAATATTAAAAATATAAAATATTGCAACGGTGACAAGTCGGCTGCGTAAAAATTTGACTCTTGTGACAGAGTTCTGATGCACACAGGTGGTTCTTTATTTTTTTAATCTTATAATAAATTAATTCGTAGAATAAAGTCATATAAAACCTAAAACAGGTGGTGCAGGTGTGTCTAAAATAGTGCGATAGTTATAAGTAAAAAGAAAATTCTTGAAACTTTTTGTTGCTTTATTACATGGCCAATAAAATATTATGCAGACACTGGAACAATAATGTCTCCTTTGCTTCTTAAGAACGTCGTCAAAAAAAAAAAACTTCTCTTATATAGTATTCGTATTATAATAATAAGGTATATGCTTAGGGACATAAAAAATAATGTTAAATTTAAGTGTTAATTTATGAGGAAAAACTTTATTCATACATTATTATGTTTTATATAGTATGAGCACGTACTGAATACTTTAATACCATATACCTAGTATATTATAAAACGAGATAATATATAAAATTATGAACTTCCGTTGCGATATGATTTTGGATACAAATATATCTAGTACGATTTGATAAAAAAAAAAAAAAACATTTTGCCATTGAAATAAATATAATAATTATATGGTATATGTACATCAATAACTGATAGTTATAATTTCTTAAGCCGTTTCCGTATAGAAATTGTTGTACTCGTTAACTGTCAATAATTTCGAAAATACATATAGTTTTCGAATTTTCTGTGGATTTTCAATTACAGTAATCGGTGGTTTACTCGAATTTAATATTTCATCTGTTCTTGTACAATATAAAATTATATATTGTACTTGTTTTATTTCTCATTTCCATATGCAGTTATGCAGTTGCCAGAAAATAATATTTTCGGTAGTAGCTATATTAAAAAAAGAAGGTGTAGTAAAAAGGAAACATAAAAAGTAACCACCCAACAAGGGTGCGGATAATGGGTAAGGTTAAAAACCATTTCGACATTACTACAGGAATTTTATCCTCTGTTTAACTCGCAATTCAATCTTATTACAAATAATTGAATGCCAAATACTCGTAGTAATATTTATTATTTTATTTCAGTCAATTACAAATTATTAATTACAGTGATACCAACTGAGCAACAGCTCGTATCTGGTATACGGAGTTTGAGGATATTCAATATGTTCAATATATTATAATTATTATTGATATAGTGGATACGTATACAAGAGAAACAAAAAAAAAAAACTAATAAATAAAAGTAACAGTAGATGTTTTTTTTCTCTACGTAATTTAAGTTTGTAATTAATCAGCGTTAGATAAAGAAAAATATTATTTTTAAACATATTTTCTATTGATAATTTTATTAATATACACATTCTAGTCAAGCTCATTAATTATTTTATTGATTGCTTTTTTTAATTCGATTTTTATTAATTTTGCCATTGGTATTATTAGATTGACTTTCACATAAACTTTTTATTAAACTCTTTACGTCGTTATTTAAGTTGTTGAATATAGTTTGATGTAGGAAAGTCGAGTGGCGGGACGATATTGCATATAAACCGTAATACGATGTGTGTATATCGGTGTTCCGAGTTCTCGAGATGAAACGGTGAGCATCAGTGAAATATTGTGCATGGCCCCTTATTATACATTTTCTAAAAAGTCGCAATAGTAACTAAAGTCATCGGAAAAAAGTGGGGTGGTGAATTTATACTAGCGAAAAAATAATATTCAATTTATAACAGTATTTTATAACCAATAACCAGAAACCACACTATAATTTATACGACGCCCCAAAAAAACAAATCTTCCGGTTGGATAGTTAGGCAGATAGGTAGGTTAGCCCGAGTGGTTTTCTCTTTCAAATTTTTAGATACACGATGGTAATAAAAAAAATAAAAAAATAACAATAATCGTTTTGGTATAAGAGATAGGATATAGTAGGTCGTGTCAGATGTTTATATATTTATAACGATATTATTATGTTGAACGCGAGTGACTGATGCTTACATGATTATAAATTATACATTTTGATAAACGCGTTTAACCGATGGATTATATCGACGGGAAAAAAATATTTAGATATTATATATTATACAAATATTTATTGTTCCAGATACCTTCCTGCAATATAATAGTATTATATTTAATAACACGTCAAAATACTGAAATTGCGTTGGAATTGAAAATATAGTTAGAAATGTATAATTTATTTGTACATATTTATTTGGTCGAACAGAAATAATTGACAACTGTACACGAGGTTCGTTATAAGTTATACTGTTTTATTTATGATGCAACAGTGGTTTCCGTTATTTTCGATTTTGTTTTTGTTTTGTTTTTTTTTTGTTTTTAAGTTGTGATTCAGTTAAAAGAAAGGAAGACCGAATAAGACGTCCTAAAATAATGGGGTCGGGTGCAGCCACTGGTATAAGTAATTTAATGTACACCTATAAGCATAGATAAACCATTGCTAACGAAAATACGATTCTGACGGGAGTTCAATTGATAATGCTGCTTTGTCGACAATATATAAATGTATGTCATATTGTGGTAAAATTTCAATTATTGTAATTCTAAAATTAAAATAAGTTCCGTTTTTCCTCCATTTTTTTTCACTTTTCATATTTGTTGAGAAAACTTCTGGAAAAATCGAAAAACGATATTTTTTTTAGTAACTCTCCAGTGAAATTTCCTTTTAGAAAAATTGCTATCATTATAAGTTTAAACGAAATTGCTGGAAGAAAAGTTATCCACAGAAAAAAAAATCGTATTATTTTACTAATAAATTTCATTAATTTTCTCGTTTTTCCTACATTTTTTTTTCGTATTATCATATTTGACGAGAAAATTCTTCAAAAAATGACCTCCCTAAAGTACCTTCATACACCGATTTTTTTTTCATAAAGGGTAGTACACATATAAATCGGAGCATGATCACTGTTCGAAAATTTGACAGAACAAAAAAAAACATCTTTGTACAACCGTAAGATTCTTTGCTCTACTCAGAATCTAAAAAAAGGTAATATGATTGACAATGATATGATGACGATGGATGCATGTGGGAAGATGATGTGTCAAATAGTTGAGACGAATGCCAAGGAGAAGAAACAGATTGTAGTTCAGTTTAAAGACTTGAATTTCCCTCGATTTTTTACTAACAAGTTTAATAGACTTTTATAGACATAGTAAAATTTTAAAAATAATCTGGTAATTTTTGAGTTATCTATAGCTATTTTACTTTTTTTTTTTTTTTTTACTTTTTATTTAGTTTTATGTAAACAAAATTTTCTTCTTGATGTTTCATAAATATTTAAACATTTGATACGATGGGTTCATATAGTTTTTTTTATGGCATTATAATAACAATGTCGTCTAGTAAAAATTCTTCTAAAAATCATCCGTAAGATAAAATAAATATCGAAATAGGTGTTATATTTTTTTTTTATCACGCTGTAATTTGTGTAATATTCATAAATTACACTATATCAAACTATAAAAGTGTGCTTTGCACTATAAAAGTTGATAAAAAAACAACTTTTATAAAAAATAGTACTCAATATAATTTAATAGATACTGTAAAATTACCTATAGTATTTTGAACATTTAATACCATATATGTTTTGAATTGTTTTAACTATAATTCAGATAAATGATAATTAAATTTAACCCTAGATAAATCTTTAACTCTCATCTATAACAAATATCGGTTAGCTTTCGTCACATTGTTAGTAGGTCGGTAATAGTGTGTAAAAAAATATAAGTAAAAGCAATAAAAAACATTAATCGAATAGGAAAAAAATTAAATATTTATCATTTTAAAAGTTTTTGAATTTAAATTTTGAAAAAAAAAAATAAATTACTTATAGCATTTTATATATTTATTGTTAATACTCACAAACCTGTTTACGTCGTCGATAAAGTTCCGTGATGGTAAGGGGGTTGCTATTATTCGAAAATTTAAATTTATTTTTTTTATTTTTTACGATAAGAAATCCATTTAAATTACTATACGTGTGTACGGAATTCCATTAAGTTGAGGAGGAAAATATATATTATATACCTACCTACCCTATTAATATAACATAATACATAGGTATACATATAAATAAATAAATAAATCGTAAACGTTTGTGAAATCGACAAATTCTCTAGAGGATTTTCGTGTACGCACAATATTATTATCATGTTTTAGGTAGGTATACAATATTACATTATTTTCGTGCTCTGTTCGTACGAGTTTTTTTTTTTTTTTTATTATAAATTGAGTTATTTTATAACGATTTATCGTAAACGTTTTACCGCGTTGTAAATGTACTACGGTATATTATATTATATACGTCGTATAAATAAAATATATTATATACTGTTTGCACAATAATTATTGTCGATACGATAAATAAAATTAAAATAAAAATCCTATTATGTTGCTGCTTCAGAGAACATTACTCTTAGAAGTTTTAGAATAAAAAAACTATGGTACTGCTGATGAGTGTGCCACTGTTTAAAGAAAGAAAGTTTGAAGGGACGATAAATAGAGCGATTTAATTTATATTTATGCACAACGATAAACCATTTTTAATGAAAAGTAATTGATAAGCACTGTGTTATTAGCTGTACAGGTTTTTTATGGCCAAGCTAACATGGAAATCAACAACAATTATTAAAAATATTACATATGAAAGTTTCTGTAATATTTTTCTTTAACGAAATACGTTTCTGAGTTTAATTTGTTTAAATTTATTTGTGAATTGCTTTGATTTGTAACATGGTCGTCAAATTTTGAACTTGAAAATGCTAATATACAAACATTGAGAAGTTTGTTAACTCACACAGAACGTGTTAAAATCATCTTTAATGACGTATTATCGAACACCCAACCCAAAAAAAATTGTTTAATATTTCCCTGTCTGATAGCTCCAGAAATTCACAAGTTTAATAAAACATACGTATATAATATTTTTGGATTCGTATTTTTGTGACAGACTTGTTTCCAAAATAGAGACCCATAATTGAAATCCAAGAATCAAAATAGTTTACTAAAAGGAATTGAAGTGATACAATTCGGATAAAATTTCATATAAATTTAATCATGTAATTGCAGGTCATTCGTTTAAATAGAGTTAATAGTTTGAAAAATATGACTTTTAAGAGTTTCAGTTTTAAAACCCAATCTGTATTATTTCTATGATCAAATGATACACACGTTTTTTGAAAGTATAGTATAATTTGTTATCGTATAGTATAATAT